ACCTAATCTAGAAATACACTCATATATATATATAAATCTTGTATTTTACACCCTCCAATTTATATATTGGTCCTACTTATATCTTTTTTTTTTTTTAATCTTTATGTTTGCTCTTCATATATATAATGATAATTATTATTAATTTTTATTTTTTAAAAACTACTACCATAAGGTCTTGGATTCACTGGTTTGATATATTATTTAAGATTTGACGAAAGTTTTTTTTTGGACATATTTTATTAAATTTTTTTTATTTTTAACATTTATTATATTAAAGTGCATAGAATCTGGTTTATCATTTATTATAATAAAGGTGAGCTTTTTTTAAATAAAAAAATCAATTATATGATAATTTAGGTTTTCTATGGGTAGGAAAGATTACAACAAAAATATGATCAAACTTAACAAGTTATGATATATCTACTTCAAAAGTTAAACAACCAACTTGGAGAAGAAGTATTTTGTATCAATTTTAGTGTATTTTGACTCTTTTTATTGTTTGGTTAAATACTCATTTGAAAGTTTTCTTGTATTGTTATCCACCATATTGGTGAAGAGTTATTTCTACTGATCCCTAACAGTTCCAAAAGCACTTATGATGTACCCATTAATTATTACTGGGGTGTTTTTATTGGACTAGGTTCTATGAGTTTTTACCTCACATTGAAGGTTTTCCCACTTTAAAATTTTGTGTCTGTTAATTTCTATTTTGTCTATATCCTGCTAAAATTATCTTGTTGCTTCTATTATTTATATAGGGGAAAAGAAGATCCAGCTTACTTCTGGTTAATTGATATAATTTGTTATCTTTCTCAACAATCAGTATCAAAGTTTTGGTTGGGGGCTTTACTTTCTTCTCTAAAGATGGGTGAATGCGATGTCACTGGAACAATGATTAAATTAAATTCCACCAATTACTTAGTTCGGAAGTCTCAAATGGAAGATTTGTTATTTTCTAAAGACTTGTATATATGACTCCATTAAGGCTAATGACACCAAACCAACTGATAAATCTGAAGAAGATTGGAAAAAGACCAATAGGAAGACCATTGGCATGATCAAACAATGGATAGATCAAAGCATCTATCATTATGTGTCAAGTGAGACTAATGCTTTCAACTTATGGAAGAAATTGAGTGAGTTGCTTAAGTCTAAAATGCACAGAACAAGGTATTTCTTATTCAAAAGTTAGTAAACTTGAAATATAAGGATGGTTCTTTGATGGTAGAGCATTTAAGCAATTTTCAGAATTTGGTGAATCAGTTGAATACTATGGAGATTGTGTTAGATGATGAGTTATTGCCATTGTTGTTGCTTAGCTCATTGCCAAATAGTTAGGAGACATTAGTGGTACCTCTGAGTAACTCTGCTCCTAATGGGAAACTAACTTTTAATATAGTCAAAGATAGACTACCAAATGAAGAAACTGGGAGAAAGGGACAAGTAATGGTTAGTTCTTCAACTCATAATGAAGCTTTGATTGTGGAATCAAAGGGTAAGAGCCATCAAAGAAATTCTCATAGATATAATGATAGTAGCAAGTCAAGAGGAAGGTCAAGCACAAGGAAAGACGTTAAGTGTTTCCATTGCAATAAAATGGGACACGTGATGAAAGAGCGTAGGTTCCTTAAGTGAGATAAATCAAAGGGTAAAGACAATGTCAAAAGAGAAGACAAAGACACTACTATAGATATATCTGATGGTGAAGTTGTCATTGTTTATGATGATAATTATATTAATCTTGCATTTTAGGGGTATGAATGGTTTATTAATATCTTGTGCCTCATTTCATGTTACACCACATCATTAGTACTTTACATCCTACACTTCCAAGGATTTTGGGCAAGTGAAGATGGGAAATCAAGGGGTAAGCAAGGTTGCTAGCATCAAAGAAATCTGGTTGGAGAATTTGGAATAGGTAAGACCAAGAAGGTGAAGGTTGATCCAAGGAGGCTCACACTTGAAGACCATTGGGCCTTTAACTAGGTCCATGGTTAGGAGGCTAGAGGAGGCTTCTAGAGAGGAGGTGAGAGATGAACACACATACCCAACCTCAAACAGAGATTACAATCCACAACAAGAAGCCAACCCAGTGGTTTTTAGCCTTCCATTAAATCAAAACGCAGCACAGAAACAAAAATGCAAGGAGAAGAAGGAAAACGAAATTACAAGGCAGAGAAGAGAAACGAAAATGCAATGTATTCTTCAAATGTAAATATTCAAGTTCCACAACCAGAGAAGACAAAAGCAAAACGAAAAATGGTAGCTGAGCAAAACGTAAATTAACAAAGAAGGAAGCCCAAAACGTGAAGAAATAGCTCCAGAAAACAAAACATAAAACCAAACACAAATGGAGGCTACTGTTCACGTAGTCACATCAGCCTTCCTTGTTAGGGGCTGCCAAGTCAGCCCTAGCCTAGACCTAAACCTAAAACGAAATTGGGCCCCTCCACCATACATGTCTGACCCAATAATACAATAAAATAAAATACAGATTGAAATTAAATGCTGAGGTGGAAAAATGGTGCGGTAGTGACATGGCAGATGATGTGGCAGATGACGTGGAAGCTCCACTTGAAGTCCATAAATTAATTCCAAGCCCAAATAATTATTAATCTGCCCTGAAAATGAAATTTTGAATAATTAGATGCAGAAAATTCAAATTAGCTAAAATATGAATTACCGGTCCAATTACAGCCCAAATAGAAAACAATGCAGAATATAAGCAATTAGGCACAAATCAAAGATTAAAATAAGTACAGAAAGGTAAGAAAATAGGGGAAAATATTGACTCATCAATATTCATCCAATTCTCTTATCCCTTCCATAGAAGAGTGTGGTGAGAATTGAAGAGACTTATCTCTTCTCCAAGGAGTGGCGTCTCTTGAGAGAGTTTTCTACCAAACCGTGGTGCTTCCAAGGTCTCTTCCTCCATTGGAGACCTTGGAGAAGCTTAATAAGAATCAAGGAGCCAAAGGTCTAGGGAGTAACTTGAAGAGGAATCAACATCAATCCGAACTCTCCAACAAGTTTCCATCATTTGGTATCAAGAGCTAGGTCTCCTTGGTAAATTTGTTCTTGAGCTTTTGTCTTCCAATTTTGTTCGGTGAAAAACATGTGTAATTGTGTCTAAATTGTTCCTACATTTATTTCCTTTTATTGTCTTGTTTTTGTGTGCTTTGAGTGGTTCTTGTGTCACATCTATAAATCTATAGAACACACTCATTTTTTCTTGCTTGTTTTTGATTCATGTTCTAAATTCTTGTGGTTCTAAATTCTTGTGAATCAATCTTTGTGTGTGCCTTAGATATTCTTTTTATGTCTTTTTAAATGTTTTAGGAATGCTTTTATCTTCCATTGGACTCCTTTTAATTTCGGACTAAAAAGAAACTCCAAAAAAGAAACAAGAATACAAGCATTTTCCATTTCTTAATCTTCAAGTTTTGTCTTCGAGTCATGTGTAGTTGTTTTACTTGTCATTAAATCTTTGTTGTGCCTTTTCATTTTTGAATCTAAATGTGTTAATCTCTGTTCATATATGGTGTCATTGCGGGTTGGACATTAATAATTCTTAGAGTGCTCATAAAATGATTCCAATGCATGTTGTTAGACCTAACATGTTCTAGAGTCAATTTTTGTGAACTTCAATTGCTATTTGTTTCTTAGCAATTTGTGACCAGCAATTCCTTGTGTGTCTTGTGCTTGTTTTAAAAAAAGAAAACAGAGTTAGAAGTGTATTGAAAACGAAAATCAAAGTGTACAAAAGATAAGAACAAACTAGTACCAAAACTAGTGACATTTTGTGGTTGAAAATTTTGACTAGTACACTTACATTTCTTACACTTCTTGCTCTTCTTTTCTCCACCACTTGGAAACCTCTTTATTAATTGTTTGGCCTCTGTTTTAAGTGCTTACTCTCTGTATTCAAAGAAAAGAAAGAAAGAAAAGAGACAAAAATATAAGAAAAGGAAAAGAAAACAAAAGAGAAAACCTAGAAAAAGCAAAGTGGAAACAAAACATTTTTAGTAGCACTTGGGCTTGAAATTTTGTGTGATTTTTCTTGAGGTTTGCTTGCAGTCCAGTGGTTGGAAAAAGACTTTGAAACACTCAAAACAATTGCACAAATTTTGTTTTGGTTTTTGTAATCCATTCTAGTGTCATTCCTAGGACTAATCTTTTGTGTGCTAGCTTTTGAAATTAGCCTTTAATTGTTGCTTTGTGTCTTCTTGGCTCTCTTTGTTTTGTCACATTAATTCCTACAAGAGTGTAGCCTCTTCTAAATTGTGCTTTCCAGTTTTCATTTCTTGGCCTCTACTCTCTCTTGATTGGTTGTTAAGCCTTGGTGAGACATAATACTTTTCAAGCCATTACACTTGGAAGGAAAGACTAATTGAGACATATTGGATAATCTCAAAGGGGTCTACACTTGAAGGAGATTGAGGTACAAATAACTTGAGTGAAACACCTTTGAAAGGCTCACTTGTTTGTTCTTTTTGCAGCCAAGAATTGTTTCGATTTTTAGGTCAAAGTTAGAGACGGATTTGGAAGTAACTTAGTGACGGAATTGAAGAAATTGGTGACGGATTTGGAAACCTTAGAGACGGATTTGTGGAGAGCCATTTTCCACCTTCAAGTTGGTCATTCATCTTGGCTCCAAGGCTATTCCAAGCTTTGTGAGGGCTCTCAGCCACATGGATAGTTCAATGTGCTCATCGGCGCCTGACCCTGAGATGTGGATCATCCAAGGCACATTAGCATGGCGTACTTCTCCTGTTTGAAACGGGGTTTGAAACCAAACTTATCCTCAGGAGGATAGATGGGGCGATTCAGGTGAGATCCAATGTAGATCCAACTTTCTCTTCACTCGTGGGATCCGGGCGATCCGGGGGGGCCACCACGGCTCCTCTCTTCTCGAGAATTCATACATCCCTTATCAGTATATGGTTATTATCGAGGTACGGGGGAAAAGAAGAGATTTATGTGTAGAGTCACAAGAGGTATGTGTAGAGTCACAAGAGGGAATGGGTGTAGAATAGTTCCTTTGGAATTTTTAATAATTTTATAATTATTTCTGTTTGGAGAATTATTGGTATTATGAGATTCTCTATGTGTTTAGGATTATGAATATATGATTAATTTATAAAAATGATGATCTGGGAAAGAGAACGAAATTGTAGAAAAGTGCTTGTGAGTTAGGTTTTGCAAAAATTGGGGGTTTTACTATTTGAGTTAAGATTATATTAAATTGGTGATTCAATTGAGTGTTATATTAATTTATAAATGTTATTGTTATATTATATAGTAAAAATTGGTGATCTAGATGTGAATTCATGGTGAATTGCTTAAGGGGTATGTGAACCACTATTTTTGTTGGACTTATCTGTTGTGTGTGATATGGAATTGAGTTATGAGATGAGATGTATGAATGTGAATATGATTGTGGTTCTGCACACTAATGACCAGGGATGGCACAACCATTGGGTAAGTGATGCTACAAGGACAGCGTGACCTTGGCATAGTGTAGGATGAGTGAGGCAATTAACACGTATCACTTATGTCAGATGTGGCGTGGCCTTGGCATAGGGTTAATTGTAAGATTTGTGTGGATTATGATTGTAATTGTAGTTCCTCACACTAATGACTAATGATGGCATGACCCTTGGGTAAGTGATGCTACAAGGACAGCGTGACCTTGGCATACTGTGGGATGAGTGAGGCAATTAACCCGTATTACTTATGTCAGTTGTGGCGTGGCCTTGGCATAGTGTTAATTGTAAGATTTGTGTGGATTATGAATGTGAAAATGATAGTGTTAATTGCAAGATTTGTGATGGATTGATAGAGTTATGATATATAGAAATGCTTGTGAATATTTCATTGAGTAATGAATTATGATGAGATTATGTTGTATTTTTCCTTATGTGTTTTACATATAAATGTTTTCTTTTCTCACCGTACAATTTGTGGGTGTTTTAGGTGAGGAAGATCCGGCTATGAGTGGTATCTAGAATGCCAACAATTGAATTATGGGTATGCTCTGATATTATGACCTTTTTGGTCATCAAGTGATGTAACAAGCTAATCAAGTGTACCTTGTGTCACCAAGTGATGTAACAAGTGTACTTTGTGTCACCAAGTGATGTAACAAGCTAACAAGGTGTACCTTGGGTCACCAGTGATGAAATGATGAGAAATGTGATTATGAGACACGTGACTGGCGGCACACGCATTTATGAGTCGAGTCCATGAGATCATTGCATGATGAATGACTGTGCATGTGTTACTATTGTATGTATAATTTGAATTTGTACCTAAATAATGTGTAGTTATGACTGTGCTTGTATAATTTGTGTGTCTGTTGCCTAACTATTATTTCTACAATTAGAACCGAGTGAGATGTTTCTCACTCCCTTGTTGTCCTTTATATGTGTTTAAAATTGTGTTGCAGGTGATCATCAGCATGAGGATGTTGGTGATGAAGCTTAGGCTTAAGTTGGGCATGCTCTAATAGGATATGTGACATCGGGACATAGTTAGGCGTAATTAGGACTTCATTATTGTATTTTATTTTGGAAGAACTCATGTTTCAATTTTTCTGCATTTGATCACGTTTTAAGTTGATGAATGTGAATTCTCTACTCTCATGTTACTGGAATTGTTGTTTTAATTCTAGAGATTTTTTTAACCCAATAAGATATTTCTTTTAATTATTATATAATCATGTTGCGGTAGAGGGTGTCACAGCAAACCATTGTAAAGGGGAAATTGTTATGAGTATGCATATTGATAACATTTTGTGAGGGTCATGTAAATAGTAGTTTGTGTCCAACGTATTATGCATATGAATGTAATTTGTGTGATGAGTTATGCGATGAATGTAACACCCCAAATTTTCTAAAATTATTAAAAAAAGATATTTTGATTAATTAAATGAATTTTTTATAAAATATTTTAGACATTTTTAATAGTTATGACTTTTTATTAATAATTAGTTTTTATTAATAACCCTTAAATATTTAGGAATTTTTTAACTTCTTACCTAATTTAATTTTTATTTATGATTATTAGTTATTAATTAAACTTTAATATTTTTAAAATTAATTATAAATAAATAAAAATAATATTATACTACAGTATAAATTATTTATCATAAATCTAAAATATAATTTTATACGTTACTGTCTAAATATATAATTTATATGTTTCAAAATAACTATTTATACAATTTTTAATATGATTTATATATTCAAACATGATATTTATTTGTGTGTGTCTATATATATTGTCTATGTTGTAACAGTCCGATTTTTACAGATTGTACGAAGGCCCAAAAGCCCAATATGAGTGATTTAGTAACCTAGAACCGGTCGTTCCAAACTACTAAAAAGACCTACTTTTGGTAGGCCATAACGGGCCCTTCCAAACCACCAAAATGGCCTATAACCCTAATTGGGAACAGGTCGTTCCAAACTTGGGAACGGGTCGTTCCAAACATGGCCGTTATGGGTTAAAATGTAACCCCAGAATGAGCCGTTCTACTTTTAGAACGAGCCTTTTCTGGATGTGAAATTTTACACAAGACGAAGAGTCTAGAATGGGCAGTTCTGGATTTGAAATGGGCTGTTTCGGCCACTCTTGATGCCTATAAATAGAGCACTATGGCACTCTCAAAAAGCACACTTTTCAATTCTGACTTCTTTTAGTTCTGACTTCTTTTCCTTCTACATTTTTTGAAGACCAAGGGAAACCTAGAAGAGGAGACCAACTAGATCCTGCTTTAGTTTCAGCTACTTATTATCGAGGTACGGGGGAAAAGAAGAGATTTATGTGTAGAGTCACAAGAGGTATGTGTAGAGTCACAAGAGGGAATGGGTGTAGAATAGTTCCTTTGGAATTTTTAATAATTTTATAATTATTTCTGTTTGGAGAATTATTGGTATTATGAGATTCTCTATGTGTTTAGGATTATGAATATATGATTAATTTATAAAAATGATGATCTGGGAAAGAGAACGAAATTGTAGAAAAGTGCTTGTGAGTTAGGTTTTGCAAAAATTGGGGGTTTTACTATTTGAGTTAAGATTATATTAAATTGGTGATTCAATTGAGTGTTATATTAATTTATAAATGTTATTGTTATATTATATAGTAAAAATTGGTGATCTAGATGTGAATTCATGGTGAATTGCTTAAGGGGTATGTGAACCACTATTTTTGTTGGACTTATCTGTTGTGTGTGATATGGAATTGAGTTATGAGATGAGATGTATACTACATAGGGTACTTTAGGCAAGATATGTTAGTATATAGGAGTACTTCACTAGTTTCTTCTAGTTTTAGTATTTTAACATTTATAGAATTTAGTTTTACACTTAGAGTACACTATAGTGAGGATCCTATTCTTATACTTAGAGAACCCATCCTTCCTAGTCTAAGAACCCTTGTTAGGACTATAGAACGGATTCCTCATAGGGTGCACTTTCCACATGTATTATATGCATATATCATTACTAAAACTTTATTTCTTATTTTTGTAGGTGATGTTATCCTTATGGAAGGACCACGGGATTTGAGGACAAATCCTTTCGAAGGGGGAGGGTATGATGGAAATCTAATCCCCAAGGATCCCTTTGGAAGAGGTAAGACCAAGAAGGGTGAAGGTTGATCCAAGGAGGCTCACACTTGAAGACCATTGGGCCTTTAACTAGGTCCATGGTTAGGAGGCTAGAGGAGGCTTCTAGAGAGGAGGTGCTTCTTAGACCTATGCTCAATATGAGTATTGAGTATGATTCCTCTTTTTAGTCTCATAGTCTCTATTGTACATACATTGTATAGTTTGATTTCTTGTACCTTGTATATAGTAGATACTTGTATAGGTGTATT